GGACCCAATACACCACATGGTGTGTGATGGACCCAATACACTACATGGTGTGTGATGGACCCAATGCTTACACACTACATGTTGTGTGGGTCCTGTATATTTCAGCTCTAGGGGTCGTTACTAGGTGTGTGATAGACCCAATGATCTTTCACCCCACGGTGTGATGTTCTACACAATACGTGAGGGTTTCGAGGTTTTATCTTCACGTAAACAAACATAACATTTAAAAAGCGACGTCTTCACCTTGGAGTTATGTCAAGTTGCACACACACAAAAAGTAATAAAAGATTAAAGCTTCGAGGTGCTTATTTTTTTTTAGTTTCCGCTATTGATGACTCAAGAAGCCTACACTAATGGCTAGTTACATCTTCGTGGCCATGGGCTAGTTACATCTTCGTGGACATTGGCTAGTTACATCTTCGTGGCCATTGGCTAGTTACATTTTCGTGGCCATTGGCTAGTTACATCTTCGTGGCCATTGGCTAGTTACATCTTCGTGGCCATTGGCTAGTTACATCTTCGTGGACATTGGCTAGTTACATCTTCGTGGCCATTGGCTAGTTACATGATAGTGGCCATGGACTAGTTACACCATCGTGGCCATTATGGTACGAGGTTCAGATGCCTATGTTGTGTAGGGGTCTGTGGTCAATATTGTAGGGGTCTGTGGTCAGTATTGTGTAGTTGTATGTTGTCAGTATTGTGTAGGGGTCTGTGGTCAGTATTGTGTAGGGGTCTGTGGTCAGTATTGTGTAGTTGTATGTTGTCAATATTGTGTAGGGGTCTGTGGTCAGTATTGTGTAGGGGTCTGTGGTCAGTATTGTGTAGTTGTATGTTGTCAATATTGTGTAGGGGTCTGTGGTCAGTATTGTGTAGTTGTATGTTGTCAATATTGTGTAGGGGTCTGTAGTCAGTATTGTGTAGTTGTATGTTGTCAATATTGTGTAGGGGTCTGTAGTCAGTATTGTGTAGTTGTATGTTGTCAATATTGTGTAGTTGTATGTTGTCAATATTGTGTAGGGGTCTGTGGTCAGTATTGTGTAGGGGTCTGTGGTCAGTATTGTGTAGTTGTATGTTGTCAATATTGTGTAGGGGTCTGTGGTCAGTATTGTGTAGTTGTATGTTGTCAATATTGTGTAGGGGTCTGTGGTCAGTATTGTATGTTGTCAATATTGTGTAGGGGTCTGTGGTCAGTATTGTGTAGGGGTCTGTGGTCAGTATTATGTAGTTGTATGTTGTCAATATTGTGTAGGGGTCTGTGGTCAGTATTGTATGTTGTCAATATTGTGTAGGGGTCTGTGGTCAGTATTGTGTAGTTGTATGTTGTCAATATTGTGTAGGGGTCTGTGGTCAGTATTGTGTAGGGGTCTGTGGTCAGTATTGTGTAGTTGTATGTTGTCAATATTGTGTAGGGGTCTGTGGTCAGTATTGTGTAGGGGTCTGTGGTCAGTATTGTGTAGGGGTCTGTGGTCAGTATTGTGTAGTTGTATGTTGTCAATATTGTGTAGGGGTCTGTGGTCAGTATTGTATGTTGTCAATATTGTGTAGGGGTCTGTGGTCAGTATTGTGTAGTTGTATGTTGTCAATATTGTGTAGGGGTCTGTGGTCAGTATTGTATGTTGTCAATATTGTGTAGGGGTCTGTGGTCAGTATTGTGTAGGGGTCTGTGGTCAGTATTATGTAGTTGTATGTTGTCAATATTGTGTAGGGGTCTGTGGTCAGTATTGTATGTTGTCAATATTGTGTAGGGGTCTGTGGTCAGTATTGTGTAGTTGTATGTTGTCAATATTGTGTAGGGGTCTGTGGTCAGTATTGTGTAGGGGTCTGTGGTCAGTATTCTGTAGTTGTATGTTGTCAATATTGTGTAGGGGTCTGTGGCCAAGGTAGCGTAGGCTTCATGGCTAAGGCACTTTTAAGGCACCGTCTTGGCTACAGTCATCCCCAAAATGCCCATTCTTGCTACTTGACCTCTGGTGGTTGTTGCAGGAGTTGACTTGATGTGCTTGAAGATCTTGGGGAATAAAGAAGTTAAATTAGACTGATATCTCGCTAGCCAGAGACTGACCTGACCACTTCCATAACCACCTTGTTGACCCACATCTATAAATAACCCAAATGTTAAAACAGCAACAGTGTGACCCCAATCCTTCATGTCATGACAACTGATGTACTTCCGCTGTGGCTGTCAGACATTCTTCTCTTGTTTTAATTACTGGCGTCACTTCAAACCTTTTTCTTTTAAATTTTTTTTAGGCATCTCCCTAGCAGTGGGTATATCGCCAACCCCACCCTTCGACGAAATAGAAAGAAAATTATTTAGAAAATATATACTTAAACCAGTGCCCCCCCCCCCCCCTCCCCTCCCTGGCGTCGAGTCATTTAAATCCAACAGCATACTTGCTAATGCAAGAGCACAAATTACCAGCGCAGTGTAAAGGGCCTTAAAAGGCCTTTGGGTTTTAAATGTACGTTATGCTTAAAATAATGCCCTCCTGTTGAAAGCCTGACATTTATGGTCACAAAAATATCAACTTTGCATGTCGCATTTCCCAGCACTGCTCCTGTTGTTAATTCGGTTGACATTTTTCTTGCATGTGTAACTTGGCTTAAACCACAGGCTAAACATCCTGTACTATTGGGGTATCTTTAACGTTCGCAATACAAGTCTAAACCACAGGCTAAACATCCTGTACTCTTGGGGTATCTTTAACGTTAGCAATACAAGTCTAAACCACAGGCTAAACATCCTGTACTATTGGGGTATCTTTAACGTTAGCAATACAAGTCTAAACCACAGGCTAAACATTCTGTACTCTTGGGGTATCTTTAACGTTAGCAATACAAGTCTAAACCACAGGCTAAACACCCTGTACTCTTGGGGTATCTTTAACGTTAGCAATACAAGTCTAAACCACAGGCTAAACACCATGTACTCTTGGGGTATCTTTAACGTTAGCAATACAAGTCTAAACCACAGGCTAAACATCCTGTACTCTTGGGGTATCTTTAACGTTAGCAATACAAGTCTAAACCACAGGCTAAACACCCTGTACTCTTGGGGTATCTTTAACGTTAGCAATACAAGTCTAAACCACAGGCTAAACGTCCTGTACTCTTGGGGTATCTTTAACGTTAGCAATACCAGGCTTCAGACAGTGGACACTACATCGAATACTAACTACTGCAAATGTTAAGAACTTGATCAGATTCTTCGGAGATTGGTCATACGTGACGTGGACTAGACATGCCGTTATTGGAACCTAGACACAAAAAACGTGGGTTGTTGAAACATTCAGCTGGTTGTCAGAGGGTTGGCACTACAGCAGATGTCTGGACTAGACATGCCGTTATTGGAACCTAGACACAAAAAACGTGGGTTGTTGAAACATTCAGCTGGTTGTCAGAGGGTTGGCACTACAGCAGATGTCTGGACTAGACATGCCGGCACTGGAACCTAGACACAAAAAACGTGGGTTGTTGGAACATTCAGGGGGTTGTCAAAGGGTTGGCACTACAGCAGATGTTAGACACACCACATTTATACGTTGGGTTGTCAGACCTATGGAATGTTTGATAACAGCGCACACAATTTAATGCCGTTTTAATAGAACAACTTTAATGTTGGCTTTAATGTTGGCTTTAATGTTGGCTTTAATGTTGGTGCCATAAATCTTACACAGTGGTTTCATGATCGACCTCTGGCACATTGAAATGTGATATATGGACCAAGATTGATATTTTCTCTCACCCTGTGCCCTGTGTGTCATATATCATACCGATTTAATAACCGAATCAAGGGACACAATGTAAACATAGACAAGTAGGGCTGTACTCTGGCCCTAATGTTGATTTAAAAAACTTACATTTCACATTTTACACGATAGCGCCATCTCTGCTACGTCATCAGGTCAAGACCTGAAGGTCATTCGCAATCTGGTCGCCAGTAGTCAGACCCAGGGTCAAATAGGGCGTTAAGTTTGGTGGCTGACTTTTTAGTGGCTGACTTTTTGGTGGCTGACTTTTTATGACTGCGGTATGACACAGCGTGCTTTCGTTTTCTTTGGTCACACTTTATTTTTTTTACTTCTGATGTCACTGTCTGTACACCGTGGTGTATATGATGTGCATGTTAAACAGGCAATTAGACAAAGGTCTATTCGACTGTACACAGTATACACACAGGAGTACACTGGTGTACAGATGATATACAAGGCTAAACCCAGCGTGCACAACGATGAACACACCATATATAGGATGACGTAAGAAGACTATAGATGTACGTCTGTGGGCGTGGCTGACAAACAGATAATTAACGCCATAAATATCAGTGTCTGTCTTCTTCAATGATTTTTTTTACTTCACGTTTCCTCCTCTCTCTTCTGCCTCACGTATCTCATCGCTCTCTCTCCCTCTGTCTCTGAGGCTCTCTCTCTTCCTCTCTCCCCCCCCTCTCTCTCTCTCTCTCTCTCTCCATGTTGGTTGAAAGTGTTGTGAAAGTCTGTGTGGAGGTTTCTTGTCCTAGTCACGTGATGGGTGTACTAGAACACTGTTGTAAAGCTTCCAGTCTGGAACTTATCCCTGTCTTAAGCTAACAGGTTTCTTAAAGTCTTTCTCCCCGCCCCTCCATTATAGAGAGACTCTCAAGTAGGTCTGTAGTTTGGAATTTTTAAACACAAGGTGAACATTTAAATTTCATGGTTTCCTAATACTCTTGATATGGTGTAAACTGATGTATTGATTATGTTAGTGGGTGGCTAAACAGGTGTAACCCACCAATGGCCCACCTGACCAATGACCCACTTTGCCACCATTGACCCACCTGACCACCAATTGACCCACCTGACCACCAATTGACCCACCTGACCACCAATTGACCCACCTGACCACCAATTGACCCACCTGACCACCAATTGACCCACCTGACCACCAATTGACCCACCTGACCACCAATTGACCCACCTGACCACCATTAACCCACCTGACCCCCTGCTATTCCCCAGACGAGGCAGAGAGCCACAAGGCATTTGTGGCCCACGTGAGCGAGCAGCTGGACATCTACCAGAAGCTTGCCGTCGTGTCCCTGGCCGAGCTAGCCGGCAAGGAGCAGATCCTGGGTGACGCCTACATGTCCCACGTCATCGAGCTCAACTCGCCTGACGTCACATACATCACCTTCGATTTCCACGAGTACTGGTACGTAAACATCCTTGACCTTAACCCAAGGTAAACATCCTTTACCTTTACTAACGCGTAAACATAACTCTAGCTCTAATTATGTACTGGTTTATGTCAAGTTCCTCACACAAAACAGTCCTCATCTAACAACATCTATAAACCATTACAAGTTGTCTTCACAAACCCTAAACTAGTACATACAAACATCCCAAGCACTAACATAGTCAACACTCTGATGTGTCTTGTACCACTCTGATGTGTCTTGTAACACTCTGATGTGTCTTGTAACACTCTGATGTGTCTTGTACCACTCTGATGTGTCTTGTAACACTCTGATGTGTCTTGTACCACTCTGATGTGTCTTGTACCACTCTGATGTGTCTTGTAATACTCTGATGTGTCTTGTAACACTCTGATGTGTCTTGTACCACTCTGATGTGTCTTGTAACACTCTGATCACTGTGTCTTGTGCCACATTGACCACCATCTCCACCCGACGTGTTGTGTACGGCCATGTTTCTATCCCCCTACAAAGGCCAGCTGCCAGCCCATGTTGACCCTCCACCTTCCACCCTGCTCTAGTTCCCTGTTTGCTGACCACTCGAGACTTTGATTGGTCAGTTTGCTGGTCGTGCCGACTTGACCAGCGAGACTTCCACACACTTTGTCCCTGATCTGGTCACGTGATAAGACCACGTGATCTGCTGTAGGTTTGTTAGCCACGTGACTAGGTTATCATGTATACCCGATGTATCATGCCCCACCCTCCCCCAAGTACTCTCGCTCTTGTATCAGTCTCAGCAGTTGTGTTGGGGTTGTGGGGAGGGTGTGAGCTGGCCACACTATCGAACATTCACACACCAGGACACGTCCTGTGTACATAGCTGCCTTGTCTAAACCTTAGCCGCCACACTGATGCCATGGCTAAACCCTAACCACCACATTGATGCCATGTCTAAACCCTAACCACCACATTGATGCCATGTCTAAACCCTTACCACCACATTGATGTCATGTCTAAACCCTAACCACCACATTGATGTCATGTCTAAACCCTAACCACAACATTGATGCCATGTCTAAACCCTAACCATCACATTGCAACTATGTCTAAACCCTAACCACCACATTGATGCCTTGTCTAAACCCTAACCACCACATTGATGCCATGACTAAACCCTAACCACCACATAGCTGCCATGTCTAAACCCTAACCACCACATTGATGCCATGTCTAAACCCTAACCACCACATTGATGCCATAGCTAAACCCTAACCACCACATTGCTGCCATGGCTAAACCCTAACCACCACATTGCTGCCATGGCTAAACCCTAACCACCACATTGATGCCTTGTCTAAACCCTAACAACCACATTGATGCCATGTCTAAACCCTAACAACCACATTGATGCCATGTCTAAACCCTAACAACCACATTGATGCCATGTCTAAACCCTAACAACCACATTGATGCCATGTCTAAACCCTAACAACCACATTGATGCCATGTCTAAACCCTAACAACCACATTGATGCCATGTCTAAACCCTAACAACCACATTGATGCCATAGCTAAACCCTAACAACCACATTGATGCCATGTCTAAACCCTAACAACCACATTGATGCCATGTCTAAACCCTAACAACCACATTGATGCCATGTCTAAACCCTAACAACCACATTGATGCCATGTCTAAACCCTAACAACCACATTGATGCCATGTCTAAACCCTAACAACCACATTGATGCCATGTCTAAACCCTAACCACCACGCTGATGCCATGTCTAAACCCTAACCACCACAGTGCAACCATGTCTAAACCCTAACCACCACATTGATGCCATGTCTAAACCCTAACAACCACATTGATGCCATGTCTAAACCCTAACCACCACATTGATGCCATGTCTAAACCCTAACAACCACATTGATGCCATGTCTAAACCCTAACACTTACGATTTGTCTCTTCAGTCGAGGAATGCGCTTTGAGAACGTCTCCATCCTGACCAATGGGATCAAAGATATTATCAAAGACATGCGCTACTGCTGGTAAGTTTTTTCTCTTTGTTTAATGCTGTGTTGCCATGGTAAACAAAACACTACGGAAATGTTTTATTTCGTTTTTTATGGCGCATATTTATTTTCTTTTTTTTCTTTGTGGTTATGTTTACATATGATTTAGTTGTAGACAGTCAGTCCTCTACTAGAAAAATACACATGCACTAAAAGTAGCGCTTCATACTTTTAGTAACTGGAGTGACCCAAATTTTAACAAAGTCGTCACATTTATTTAGAAGTGCCATAGACGACAGTTAAGGTTACTAGTTTTTTGTGTGTTCTACTTCCTCACGATAATCCACCATCTTTGTCTCCATTGTGCTCTACGTCACCACAAAACCCCATTAGCTCTGTGTTGTATTTACTCTGTCAACTCATTTGTTTTACCCCTTGCCACGGGAAGGTAGGAAAAATAATTAAAACTCGGTCGTCACGTGATGCGTGTCACCACAGGTCAAGCTGACTTTTTGAAACGTTCTAGAATTTACTGTAGTAGGTAGCCCACTTGAAACATGAATAACCGTGCACACACGAGAAGACGAGCCCTAGACTTGGTGTACATTTCAGCGAGTGTACGGTCTGATACGGCACTTGGGGTTTCGCGTGGGAATGTTTGTGTGTAAACCATACTCTCCCATCCAGGAGTTTTATGTTGTTAGGGATAACGTTATAGTGTTGAGTTACTGGCTGCATGTAATTCAATCGTTAGCTTGATAGAATTCTGTGCGATTTGGTGTCAGTGGATCTCACATTGACGCGTCCTACCCTCGAAGATGTGACAGTGGTTTATGTGGTCATCAGCTTTGTCTTGACCAAATGTGTTTGGTCACTTGGTGCCGCCCAGGATCTAGAGTTGGGCTGTGGGTTGATGACAGTTGTCATGCTCAGATGACATGATCAATGACATTTGTTCTATTTTTCAAGGTGTTTTAAGACAAGTGTCTGTATTTCAAGTTGGTTCTAAGACAATGCCTGTATTTCAGGGTGTTCTAAAAAACAGATGTCTGTATTTCAAGTTGGTTCTAAGACAATGCCTGTATTTCAAGATGTTTTAAGACAAGTGTCTGTATTTCAGGGTGGTTCTAAGACAATGCCTGTATTTCAGGGTGTTCTAAAAAACAGATGTCTGTATTTCAGGGTGTTCTAAAAAACAGATGCCTGTATTTCAGGGTGTTCTAAAAAACAGATGTCTGTATTTCAGGGTGTTCTAAAAAACAGATGTCTGTATTTCAGGGTGTTCTAAAAAACAGATGTCTGTATTTCAGGGTGTTCTATAAAACAGATGTCTGTATTTCAGGGTGTTCTATAAAACAGATGTCTGTATTTCAGGGTGGACGACAAGGGTCTGATCTACGAACAACAGGGCGTGTTCCGTGTCAACTGTGTCGACTGTCTGGACCGTACCAACGTGGTGCAGACGGCCATCGCTAGAATCGTCATGGAGACACAGGTGATTTAACCCCCCCTCCACTGGAGACAGAGGTGATTTAACCCCCCTCCACTGGAGACAGAGGTGATTTACCCCCCCCCCCCTCCACTGGACACAGGTTATTTAACCCCCCCCCTCTACTGGAGACACAGGGTGATTTAACACCCCCCCCTTCACTGGAGACACAGGTGATTTAACACCCCCTCCACTGGAGACACAGGTGATTTAACACCCCCCTTCCACTGGAGACACAGGTGATTTAACACCCCCCCCTCCACTGGAGACACAGGTGATTTAACAACCCCCCCCCCTCCACTGGAGACACAGGTGATTTAACACCCCCCCTCCACTGGAGACACAGGTGATTTAACAACCCCCCCTCCACTGGAAACACAGGTGATTTAACACCCCCTTCACTGGAGACACAGGTGATTTAACACCCCCCTCCACTGGAGACACAGGTGATTTAACACCCCCACCCCACCCCACTAGGGCGTTTTGTTTGGGGAATCTTGACTAGGGCGTTTTGTTTAGGGTGTTTCGTTTGGGGCGTCTTGTTTAGGGTGTTATGTTTGAGGTGTCTTATCTAGGGCGTTTTGCTGGGGTGTTTTGTTTGGGGCGTTTTTTTCTGGGGCGTCTTCTCTGTGTCTTCTTATATAGAGGGTCTAGTCAGGTTGCTCTAGTATATGACGTTTTCTCTGGCTCCTAATAACACACAGCTAGAGGGCTCGAAAACAAAATAGAGAAATTAACGAAGTATACAATCCATGGTGTCTTGTGACATTTATAACACATAATTAACTATGACACCCTGGTAAAATACAACCCTGACAAACACGTCACATTTATAGCACGGCAGTAAACTAGCAGACGGCAGCTTATATACTAAACAAGCAGACGTCAGCGTCTAAATATGTCCTTCAGTAATAAAACTAGTATTGCCGTCTTCAACATCGTTAAGTAATAAACTGTTATCTTCTCAACGTCTTAGCCTTGATCTGGAATTTTGTTGGTGATTCACTTGATATTATTACTTTTTTGTTTACTTATACGTCAGTTTAAGATTTATATAGTAGCAGTTCCCTCCCCTAAAGGTGATTGGACATTAGTTCCCTTGGGGTTTGTTATCTTTGTTAGAAGAAATCTTTAGAATTGCGGCATTAGGAAAGATGTGTGCATACAAGCCCAATCAAATGTTTCGGTAAGATGAACTCAGATGCTCGCTAGTATTAAGTAAACTAATTAGATCAACTAATTACAATTTTTTTTTATAGGTTTGTATATGGCCAAGATATAAAATCTACATGAATTTAAATATGGCAAAATTAATCACGGGTTTTTTTTTTTGCCTACCCAATTAAAAGAAAACTCCGGTGCTTAGTTGCTGTGTTTTCATCACCCCAAAATAGAAATCACGTGACTCGCACTTGCATCTCAAAATCCAGTAATTAAAATTTTTTAGACTGTAAGGTTTATGTTCCCCCATGTGAGCATGTATACCATTATAATGACCACATTAGATTGATATAGCGGTGCATTCTAATGGCCAGGTCCTCTTGCAGCTTGAGCGGAAATAGTCTTCAGTTGACACCAATCTTCAATTAGTGGGGCGAGGTAATGCGATCCACGAGTACGATAAGGCCGTCCGTCTATAGGCTCTACTAGAACATTTTCACAGCCTCTACTAGAACATTCTCCCAGCCTCTACTAGAACATTCTCCCAGCCTCTACTAGAAGATTCTCCCAGCCTCTACTAGAACATTCTCCCAGCCTCTACTAGAACATTGTCCCAGCCTCTACTAGAACATTCTCCCAGCCTCTACTAGAAGATTCTCCCAGCCTCTACTAGAACATTCTCCCAGCCTCTACTAGAACATTCTCACAGCCTCTACTAGAACATTCTCCCAGCCTCTACTAGAACATTCTCCCAGCCTCTACTAGAACATTCTCCCTTGCACGTCACCTCATCATGACAAATGGCCGCGTATTAAGTCAGCTTGAGTAGGGTGTATGGCTCTTCCATAGCACGGTGTATGGGCCTTATGTATCACATACTCGTCCATAGTACGGTGTATGGGCCTTATGTATCACATACTCGTCCATAGCACGGTGTATGGGCCTTATGTATCACATACTCGTCCATAGCACGGTGTATGGGCCTTTTATATCACATACTCGTCATAGCACGGTGTATGGGCCTTATATATCACATACTCGTCAATAGTACGGTGTATGGCCATATCTATAATATAACGCTGGTTGTGGTGTCAGTCCTTTCTTCCTTCCGTCATCGCTATAGGTTTTCGAACCGTAAAAGTAGACATCGAACCATGCAGTGTTTTTAAATTGCATCATATTGTCTTATAATATGTAATTGAGTAGGGTTTGTTTATATAACGACTTAAATGTATTGTATAGTTGCCACAGTTTTTACTCTTTCGCATAGCTGAAGAAAATATTAAATACACGCACATTGCTAAACATATTAAACGGATCAATGTCAAATAATATTTTCGCTTAGATTCCTAGAAAAATTGGATACACTTTAATAACAGTAGGGTCGAAAAAACTAATTTATCAAAATCTATATATATAATTCTCTTCTGGGAGCCGTTAGAAAACAAGCTGCAAGCGCGCCTTTGCAGTCCCCTCTCTTCCTCTCTATCACTATCACTACCACCCCCACCCCACCCCCACATGATCTGGTGAGCTGTGGTTCACTCTAAATGTTTACAAATCGTAGAGCCGGGTTTGTTGACGGCTATTAGGGGCAGATAATTTAGTTTGAAACGATTTTAAACTTACAGGAGGTAACTAAGAGGAGGCTGCTTTCACGGGGGCGGGGGGGGGGGGGGTGTAGGGTAGGGGTTGGGGGTAAAGGGGGGGGGGGTTAGTGTTTTAAAGCAAATATTTTCAGTGGCAGCATTGGTACTATCGAATTCACAAATTATGAATTACTGAAAAGTAGAAAATAAAACAACTAAATAGCGGCGTATGATATGCCGCGGGTCGGCTCGTATTTAATAATTCTGCCAGGGGAGGTGTAATTTAAAAAGAAATTCAACTCACGCTAATGATAAAAATGTGAATGCAAATTCCACGGACGCCCAAGAGGGCATTATTGTTGGAATATGTTTTCGTTTGTGTTTTTTGCATTTGCATTTGTGTTTGCGTTTTCTTTTGTGTTTGTGTTTGCGTTTGTTTTTTCTTTTCAGTTTGTGTTTGCCTGTTGCGTTTGTGTTTTCGTTTGTTTTTTTGCGTTTTCTTTTGTGTTTGCGCTGTGTTTGTGTTTGCGTTTGTGTTTAGTTTTGTTATGTTCCCAAGTTGGTACATTTAAAAAAGATTTACCGTGGCGTAACACGGGTATGCAGCTAGTGTATCATTTAATCGTCCATATCACGATGTATGGGCCTTAAATATCACCTACGTTATCATCATACTCGCCCATACTACAGTGTATGGACTCAGCAGCACTATAGCACGGGGTATGGGCCAACAGGACTGATCGTTACTATTGACACAAATCGTTAAAAAGAGGGGGGGGGGGGCGTTTTGTGTGGAAACGTTTGAATCGTGGTGGAAATAAGACTTACATTTAGGGTGTAGGCGGTGAACACTTTCCAAGAAACAGTATCTATTTTTAGCACACACTCACACGATAGTCCGTCGCATGGCGCATGGGGCGACACTAGGCTACATCCTCTTTTTGTTTGTTTGCGTGTATGTGTGTGTGTGTGTGGGGGGGGGGTCGTCTGTGTACGTCAAACATATTTAGTCAGCCGATATAACATATCCCAGTAATCAGTTTGGTCTTTACAAAACCTGGGTTTTTTATTTTTAAATATGTCTGCCGATAATGTACAAAACCAAATTTTTACTAACTGTCACTTCATGTCGGGCTACAAACTGTCACTTCATGTCGGGCTACAAACTGTCACTTCATGTCGGGCTACAAACTGTCACTTCATGTCGGGCTACAAACTGTCACTTCATGTCGGGCTACAAACTGTCACTTCATGTCGGGCTACAAACTGTCACTTCATGTCGGGCTACAAACTGTCACTTCATGTCGGGCTACAAACTGTCACTTCATGTCGGGCTACAAACTTTCACTTCATCTACTGCGGTGGATGATCTTCATAAGCTAGTGAACTTTGACCTTTGTTCTAACGAATGTCTTTCATGCATGAGCGCCTGACCCTTGCAAAAGTGTCCCGACCCCCCTATATATATGTCCCGACCCCCTGTGTAAGTGGCCTGACATCTCAGACACCAGGAGATCGTCGGGGCAGCTCTGAAATCCAAGAACCGTCAGGTAGAACTTTCCGTGGCACCGTTCCGTAGCACCGCTCCTTGCCCTTCTGGGGTGTCAGTCAACTTGGCAAGAGAACCTGATACACCTCTTATATAACCGAACTAATAAGGTGTCCAGTTACACCTTGTCTGTAGCTTCGTGGTGTAAACATAGAATCGAATCCAGTGTTCTTCAGCAACACGTGGAGAAGCGTTCGTTCACGTGTGGAGCCTCGTTTTGTTACACGAGTGTCCATGAGTGTAGCGGCGGGCATCGCCAACAAAGTAAATAGACGGGTAGACAAGGTGTACAGCCAAACCTGTTTTATGGGACAGTTTCTGGCTCCACAGGCTTCAACGGTCTAGCTGGGATAAGTCGTGTTGTCTAGATGGCATTGGTCGTTTGGTCTAGATGGCATTGGTCGTTTGGTCTAGCTGACCTTTCATTTGGTCTAGCTGACCTTTCATTTAATCTAGCTGACCTTTCATTTGGTCTAGCTGACCTTTGCCACACGACCTTTGTCCACCACACAGACCTGGCTAACCACACGTTCACTGCCCCAACCCTTCTGACCAAAGTTGTCGCACGTATGTCGGACCTCAGACCTGGTAGCGTTGTTGTTTGTTTCTATAGACTGGTCAGTTCGCGTCCAACCCTATTTTATCTTGTTGATAATGCAAGTAGCACCCCTGCCCCAAATCATGTATTAAAAGACTTCATGGACGTT